AAACCAAGAAAAAATTTTAACTTTGATTACATCAAAAGTTTCCATTCAAGAAATTTAATTTCACCGATCGGTTAGTATGACAGCTATATGTCATACTCCTCYGAACTRAACAATTTCTTTGGATATTATAAAAATCTGCCAGATAATAATTCATACCAAATTTTATGAAGATATCTTGTCAAATAAAAAAGTTTCTCATACAACAACTTACTCAGTTTATATGACAGCTATATGCTACACTTGTCCGATCTCAACAATTTCATCGGAGATTGTATTAAAGTCTTGGGTAACAATTTGTACCAAATTTCATGAAAATATCTCGACAAATAAAAAAGTTTCGCACATAAGGATTTGATTCTAATAGAATAGTTTTTATGACAGCTATATGCTATACTTGTACGATCTCAACAATTTCTTCGGAGATTGTACTAATACCTTGGAAGATAAATTATGCTAAATTTTGTGAATATATTTGCCACATGAAAAAGTTTTTTATACAAGCACTTGACTCTAATCGTTCAGTTTGTATGGCAGTTATATGATATTGTAGTCTGATCTGAACAATTTCTGCGTATATTRTAGCTTTCCCTTAGGAAATAATTCATGCCAAATTTCGTGAAGATATCTCGTCAAATGAAAGAAATTTCCATACAAGCACTTAATTCCGACCGTTCGAGTTGTATAGCAGCTATATGCTAAAGAGATCCAATTTTGACGATTACGATAAATTAGCAGTTTTTAGGAAAGAGAAGAACTTGTGAAAAGTTTCAAATCGATATCTCAAAAACTGAGAAAGTAGTTGGCCTATATACARGCACACGGACAAATGGGCGCCCGGACATGGCCAAGTTGACTCAGCTTTACGTGCTAATTATTTATATATTATATAGATTTTATTTTATGTGACTCTGCTTCTGGATGTTGCAAACTTAATGGCAAATTTAATATTCCCTGTTCAAGATATTCTTTCATGCTTTAAACAAAGGGCTTTACAAATTTCATGTATGTTTACCGAGCAGTTTTCGAACTACAGTGTTCACTAGTTTCAAAAGCATAGTTTAAAGAAAAAATCATTTGTATTGTAGCTGATTTTAGCTACTTCTCTTCACGTCTCGTATTAGCGCTATCGTTCCAGAGCACCTGAGAACCCTTTGCTTATTCATGCTGTCAGATATAACCGATATATAACTGTTTTATAACCAAACCTCTAATTTTGTTTTGAATGGGTGATTTTTATTATATCGTTATATTATGTATCGGACGTAAACTTTTGAAAATGATGTTACGTTATTTTTAATTTTCTATGAAAATTTCTAGTGATTTTTTTTTTTTGTTATGTTTATAATCTTTTTTTTTTTGACAAAATTGCGGCGTTAAAAAATAAATGAGTTTCACCACAAATCTTGGTTGTTTTTTTATCAGATCGATAGGCTTGTTCAGCTATGTCCACGTGGGCGATGTCTAGGACATTATATATAGAATTATATACAGAACCGAAGAAAAGAATTCCATGATGATCAGAGAGCTGAAAAAAATGCCTTTGAAGACTACTGATTGGGGTAACTAAACAGAGTTGCTAACCTTCGAAGAGCTGTAACTTAGAACTATTTGAGATATCGTAAATTTTAATATGTTTTCTTAGCTATAAATACGAAAAAAAAAAACATTTTTTTTTAATTTCTCACTAGGCGTGCTCCTTCATATGAGATAAACAAAATCCGTCAGTGAAACTATGCAAAACAGATTTTTATTCTGAATGTTTGACTATAAGTGAAATCAA